CCGTAAATATCCTTCCTAAAAACTGGGGAGAGGAAAAGGGGGAGAGAAGAGGAGATGGGAGAAAAAGAAAATTTCATGAAAACAAGAGAAAGAAAAGAGTGTACTTTTAAATTGCTAGAACAGAAGCAATCTTAAGTATCAGTTCTAAAACAAACAAGAATTCTACTTAATTCTCATACAGTTTTGTGAAGACATGTCACATTAAAATCTCTCCCTCCTCAACTTTTTATTGCAGATGCCATGCTAAATTGATATAAAAATAATAAAAAACCCACAAACAAACAAAAAAAAACCCACAAAACAAAACACACAAACAACCAAACGTCACTTACAATGAAGTGAATAAAATGCATCAAAATTAAAACTTTCCTATATGGGAGTAAGAATCTTGAGAGATGCTGCTACGCCTAACACTGTCAAACAAACCAATGTGGAATCATGGGATCTCTTCAAGATCTTCCTGGGATACATTCAAGAAAATCTCTTATTTCCCAAAACAAAATTTATCTTTTTCACCCTGGCAAGCATCATAATTAATAAAGAAGAGACATACAGTTTCACAGGTGGTAATACATCTCTCACTAATTTGCACATTTTCTTCTGCTTGGGAAGTACAGGTTTTAAATTTAAAACACTAGCAACTTTTCAAGGGTTTTTACTGACTCTAATTTTTTCATACTATTAGTAGTACAGAAATGTTGAAAAGAAATATGAAGATAAGGAATGATAGAGGTAAACTGAAAATATATTACACTCAAACAATTCACACTTCCTCTCCTATTACTATTGTCCATATAATGCCTTAAGTGGGCACTGAATTTTATATTTCATGTATAATTAAGGTCCCAACAGATTAGGCAAAGTTCCATTTTGCACTTTTAAAGCATTTAGTCTCAAGTTTCAACATTGCTTTCCATTTCATGGTCAACAGCACATATTACAAGCCTGTCCACCCAAAACATATGCCAAGCTGCTATTAAAACATATTTATTTTTCAGTAGCAGCAAGGGGAGATGTGGAGATAGTAAACTCCTTGCTAATGTTCTCTCTAAGCTATTGAGATCTAGATTCTTGCAAGAGAGGAGTTCTGATGAACATAGTTATCTTCAAATTTAGAAGGAAGTAATAACGATGTATATTTAAAACCTTTCTGCACTGCAGTAGCTTAGGCTTGGCTCACTGTCACATTTCACTTTAAGTAGCTTAGGTATCAAAGGAAAGACTGAGAAATGTGGCCTGGACAGATCTTCATTTATTTAGTAGGAATGGATCACCCAACAAACCAGTTTGAGCTGAAAGGAGCGCCACGGCCAAAACATATTGCTAGTCAGGGCTAATTCTCCATTCATAGCAGTGTTTGGATGATAAGGTGCAGGCGCATAAATGTTAAGCAAGGAGTGGTAATTACTCTCTGATCTGGACAAGAATAAAAGAACTAATCCTCTTAATACTTGTGATATTAAGCAAATAACAACAAAAACTAATACAAAATGGAGGACATTTGGGACTTTCACTTGGGGCGTATGAACATTTACTATACTTTGACTGATGTTTTTCCTTAAGACACTTAACTGCTCCTCTGAAAAAGCCTGTTTAAATGCTTAACTTAAGACTAACATGATTAAAAATGTCACAACATAAACTTGATGATTAACCTTAACATCATAAAATTTAAAGGATCAACAGTACATGAGAATATTAAATCTGCTGAGACACATAAATTCTTCTCCTGTATGATCTTAAAAAGCAAATTCAGTCCAATAACCCCTGAGGTACATTACTGGTGACTTGCCTCCAGCTGGACTTTGTGTCACTGACCATGGCCTTTTGAGCCTGGCAGTTCAGCCTAATTTCAGTCCACCTCACTGTCCTCTTCCCTAGCCTGTACTCAGTTCGTTTATGAGGATGTTACAGGAGGCTGTTGAAAGCCTTGCGGAAGTTGATATAAACATATCCACTGTTCTCCACTTGTCCACTGAGCTAGTCATGTCATTGTGGAAGGCAATCAGGTTGGTCAAGCATGATTTCCCCTTTGTAAATTCACGCCGACTACTCCCAAACAATTTCTTGTCCTTCTGTCCTAGTTTTAGCTGGGACACCTTGATATGTTTGGAAATGGTTTCCAAGATTATTTACGCCACCACCATCCCAAGAAACAAGATGTGGCTGACTGGCCTGTAGCTCCTCAGACCCTCCTTCTTCCAGATAAAAATGACATTTGCTTTCCTCTAAACATCTTCTAAACTTCCTTCTGATTGTCCTGACTTTTCCAAGATTACTGAGTGTGGCCTTGTAATGACACTCCCTCAGCACTTGTTGGTGCATCTCATTGGGTCACATGGACTTCTGTTTGTCCAATTTGTTTTAAGTGCTCCCTAATCTTATCCTCCTCCACCAAGGCTAAGTCTTCCTTGCTCCAGACTTTCCCACTCGTCTTAAGAGCCTGCAATTTCTCAGGGCCAGTCTTATCAGCAAAGACCAAGGTGAAGGCATTGAATACCTCAGTCTTTTCTGTGTCCTTTTTCATCAGATTCTCTGCCCCATTTAGCAGAAAGAACAGCACAATAGCAGACACCAATTCCTTTTGAGGCAGTAAAAGCAAAAAAGTAATAGGAAAGTGAAGGCTAAAACAGAGGATTCAAAGAGATATTGAGGCAGGTCATCTGTGGCAAAGAACAGTATGTGATCATATAGTTAATATTTATAATACAGAGGTGTAAGATTAAGACTATGAATTTAATAATTTGTCAAAAAAATCTGATTTTTTTAAAGTTGTCTAACTTTAGCAATGCTCATTTATTTTGTTTTGTGAGAGAAATGGAAATAGAAGTAAAAGAAAAGGGCATGCTCATGTGCATACACCAAGCTACTTCTGTAGTCCACTAGAAAACAGGATATAGAACTCATGAACCCAAAAAACTATATACAAGTCACTATCTATAGCAAGGCACTATCTGTAACTTCACACACACAGAAAGCATATATAATCTCTGCCTTCTCATTCCAATCTTGCACTTCTCTGAAAGCTGAAAAGTATAATTAAGTCAAATTGTAAAAGAGAACTGTAAAACAGATAAATGTACCCTGGCAGTAACCACAAAATTCAAATCTTCACCTGTGAGCAAGAGCCAAATCTGCAACCAGGTCTGCACAAATGAATACATTAACCTACTGAGTTATCTGTCCTATTAGCATTTAATAAAAGTAATTATTTTCTGAGAATTCTTATATTGTAATCAAATTGGGTTTTGGGTGCAAATTTTTAGGAGCCTTTAGAACTAAATAACTGGAAAATATCTACTTCACAATTGCTGATAACTATAGGACAACTCATTAAAAAAAACAAACTCATTTTAATATTCTAATTTATTACGTACTCTTAGGTAAGTAAAACAATAATTTCAATAATTGGCTCCTCAAAATGCATCATCAGTAGAATTTCACTTGGACTGAGGTTTTTTGCCCAGTAGTTTGCACTACATGTGCGCTTTACGGTTCAGATTCGGTCCACTCATCTTTCGACATTATAACTCAAGTAAAAGCCTCATGTTAAATAAGATGCATTTTGACAGTCATATTCTCTCCACCAAGTTCCGACAGGACAGAACAAGGCTAGCCATGCCTCAACATCCAGGTATTACTGGAGTCTACAATAAAGAGAACAGACAATGGGGTTGAGGAACATCTGCATGCAGCATTTATGGTGAGCCACAACACTGGCCAGCTCGCTAGCCATTCTCTCTGCAAGTTGTCATGTGTACGCACAGGACTCGGATAACACCCAGCAGAGCAGAGTGCTTGCGACTGTAAGACAGCTCCACTAAAGCAGTCACTAGACACAGATAACAAGAAAATAATACATTGCAAAAACACCTACTTACTGTAGGGCATGTTACTTTAGCTAGGGAAGCTCCCTGAGTTAATCATCAGATCAGACCCAAACTACGAGTCGACAGCTAGAAATCAATTTCTATTGGATGCAGGGGGTATAGAGTGACCTTTCAATCTTATCAGCAGAATTATTCAATGCATTTGAGAATATCTAATATAATTTGCTTCTATACAGAAAAATGAGAAAAGCAATTTGATATTCAAAGCATATGCAAGGTAGAGAATATGCCCAAATGAGACTTATGGAAGATGATATGCAAATAGATTATCCATAATTCAGACAGGTCAGAAATTACTCAAGGCAAAAATGACATTAGACAATCTTTTCCATATGTGGCTTATGAGCCATTCTTCCAGAGTTCTTCCCTGATCATCATTAGACTGCCCTTTCTTCGTGTTAACTACTCACCTAAAATTAATGCTGAAAGAAGGAATGAAGCGAGGGTCAAGAAGCAAAAGGGAGAAATCATAGAAGGAAATAGAAGCAATAACTACTACTGGTTGAACAGTTTATCAGATTTGAATACCAGAACTGCCTAAGTCAGTCTTAAATGGAACAGGTCATTTGGTCTAATGTTACTCAAGCGATCATGAGGCATCGAACTGACGTTGCAAGTAGGGCAACATTTATAATCTGAAACCTTGGTCTCCATTACCTTCCTAAATGGCATTAAAGGCAATACAAAAATTATTCTAAAAATTCTGAAAAGCAGGCTCTCAAACAGACGACTATAAGCACAAATACTAACAACTGCATGTGACTATAGACAGGAAAACGAAGAGAAAGTTATTACTGCTGTGACTTCCTTCCTGAGATCATTAATGGAAAGAAGAAAGTGAGAAGGTTCACCGCATTTCACCCTTTATGCCTAGTTAGAAACTGTGAGAATACAAAGAACACAGAAGATGTTTCATGAACAGCGCTAGTCAAAAGATGCTGATCTCGGAACACAGAAACACAAGGAAAGGAAATACATATAGATAGGCAATAACTTCTTCCCCGGAAAATACTTTCAGTGGCAAGTTATCACAATATCTCTATGAATAACAATTTTAAAGTCTACAAAAGGAGTGTTAGAAGGAAGAGTATAGTGAAAGAATTATTTTACCTTTTTGACAATCTTTCCAAACAGTTTTTCGATTCGTCTCATAATGTTTATTCAAGCAGGTGAGGATGGTTCGTTCATATGGAGAATATATATTACTGGATAAAGGTTCCAAATTTATTCTTGGCATGTTCTGCATGCTTTCCAAGCTGAACAGATCAGTGACATTACGTGAAGAAACACGTGGAAGAACAAACACCTGAAATTAGAAGAAGTGTTTTTAAGCACAAACTGTAAAAAGAACAATTTCAAGTTGAATGATAAAAAAAAAACCACTTCAAACTCAAAAAGGTTTTCTAATTTAGAGAAGGTTTAAGAGATTATACATTAGCATAAACGTATAACATGCAAGAGAACAGATTTGCTGACATTTTAGGGAATTCCTTTGCTTCCTTAAACAACATGTAAACTGAAGCTTCCAAATGGCCTTGTCCAAATGGGAGTCTGGAGAGGTCCCAGTTGACTGAAAACTGGCAAATGTTGTCCCAGTTTTCAAGAAGAGTAAGAAGGAAGACCCTGTTAATTACAGGCCTGTCAGTCTCCCTTCAGTGCCTGGTAAAATCATGGAGAAGGTTATTCTAGGAGGTATTGAAAAACACTTGAGAGATAATGCAGTTATTGGTCACAGCTGGCACAGGTTTACGAGGGGAAAGTCCTGCTTAACCAACTTCATTTCCTTTTATGACAAGGTCACCCATCTAGTTGCAACTTCATTTCCTTTTATGACAAGGTCACCCATCTAGTTGACCAAGGGAAACCAGTAGATGTGGTGGTTTGAGATTTTAGCAAAGCATCTGGTACTGTCTCCCACAGTATTCTTTTGGACAAAATGCCCAGCAGACAGCTAGACAAGTTCATAATACGAAGGGTGAATGATGGGCTGACGAGTCAGGCTCAGAGTTACAGTAAATGGGGTTACATCAGGCTGGCAGCCAGTCACCAGTGGGGTTTGCCAGGGCTTAATTTTAGGGCTACTGCTCTTTAAAGTTCGTTTAAATGATCTGGACACAGGAATCAAATGTACATTAAGTAAGTTTGCTGATGATACTAAATTAGGAGAAGCTGACGACTCCCTCAAGGGTAGAGAGGCCTTACAGAGAGATCTGGATAGACTAGAGAGCTGGGCAATCACCAACTGTATGAAATTTAACAAGATCAAGTGCCATATTCTGCATCTGGGACAGGGTAATCCTACTTATATATACAAATTGGAGGACAAGAAGTTGGAGAGCAGTCCCACAGAAAGAGATCTCGGTGTTTTGGTTGACAGCAATTTGAACATGAGTCAACAGTGTGCCCTGCCAACCAAAAGGGCTAACCATGTCCTGGGGTACATCAAGCGCAGTGTAGCTAGCTGGTCGAGGGAGATGATTGTCCCACTCTACACTGCACTGGTGTGGCCCCACCTCAAGCACTATGTGCAGTTTTGGCACCTCAACAGAAGAAGGACATCAAACTATCAGAGTGTGTCCAGAGGAGGACAACCAAGATGGTGAAAGGTCAAACATACGAGAAGTGGCTGAAGTCACTTGGTTTGTTCAGCTTGGGGAACAGAAGACTGAGGGGTGACCTCATCGCAGTCTACAACTTCCTCAAGGAGGGCAGCAGAGGGGGAGGTGCTGATCTCCTCTCTCTGGTGACCAGCAATAGGTCACAAGGAAATGGAATGAAGCTGCATCAGGGGAATTTCAGACTGGACATTAGGAAAAGGTTTTTCACTGTGAGGGTAGTCAGTCACTAGAACAGGCTCCCTAGGGAAGTGGTCATGGCATCAAGCCTATAAGAGTTCAAAGAACATCTGGAAGATGCTCTTAGTCATATGGTTTAGCTTTAGGTAGTCTCGTGAAGAGCAAAGAGTTGGATTCAATGATCCTTATTGGTCCCTTCCAACTTGAGATATTCTATGATTCTAAATATTTTTTGTTTCCAACTTTTTTCCAAGTTTTGCTGAACTAGATGAAATCACTGGACCCATCTGGATTCCAAGAATTACTGTGTATATTCTAGCCAAAACACTAATTACTGAAATACTACACTGATCTCCAGTGCAATCTATAGACAATCTTGAAATGGTATCTCTCATGACAGTTAGGTCCAAATTACACTGACTGTTTCTCCTGAAAAAAAATAAACATTATAATGCCTGCAATAAAATTCTTGGTACTCAGAGGTCCTTGATTAAGTCTTGCACAAATACACATTTAAAAAATAAAAACAGTAAGAAATATAACGATGTTACAAGTAAAAATTCTACACAATATCTTCTTTTTTTTTCCCAAATTAAATAACAATATAGAAAAAGGTATATGAAGAAGGAACACAGAACTTGATTTTCAGGATGATGATGAAGTCAACAGCTTTGTTTCCATCCTCCCCCATCAAAGAGGTCTCAGGCCTGACCATCTTGACCAGTGACTATCAAGGACCACGGCCATAAACTCTAACTTTTCTGCATCAGCTCCATAATGTCATATATTCACAGATAATTTAGGATAAGTTTGTTAAGGACTAATTGTTTGGAGAAGGAAAAAAAGAAAAAGGAAAAAAATAGACTAGCAGCTAAGCATTGACAATGTCTATTGACAAAGAATGTCAATCCAGTAACAATAAAGTGTTATTTTTAAGTGTGAATTGGGCCCAGTTTTTCAGTCCCTTGAAAACCCCCGTGATGGTTAATTCCCTGATATATATATACGCACATAAAGAAAAGGCTATCTCATTTCATTTCATCTAATCAGAATAAAACCAGCTTGCACCTATTTCAAAATTGTTTCTCCTCACATTAGTTTCCAATGCTAGATTTTAACAGGTATATTAGAGAAAGCATTAGTTTCTTGAGGCAAGATGCTGAAACTTTTGAATCTCTCCATTTGCTGCAGATGGAGAGGAACACTCTTATGTATAGTAAGACGCAGCTAGAACCATGTGGCTTCAGTTTCCCCACTTACATCTAGATTTCTTTTTTTTTTTTCCAGATGACACGAAGGACTGTCATCCATTGCTTTCAAGTTTTTCTGAAGAAAATCTTTTGTAATATGCTAACATACAAAACCTAGTTAACTATTAATGTACACGAGACTCGAATTATAGCATCGAGATTTAATTACAATCAAAAAAAAATATTTGAGTCACTTTGAAATTCCTTTTTAAACCCTGAATCATTTCAGTTCAGCATCATCTAGTTCCATGCAGAGATGACTGAGCTAACTTAACGTACATATTTAGATTTCTCTCCATGGCATTTTAATGATTTGCACAGAACTATCTTAAAAGAAATCTGAAGCTTTTATATCAGTATCCTCAGATACAAATCTAAAGAAAATAACAGCAAAAATAAAAGCAAGCAAATATATACTATTTAATGCTTTCTCAAAAGGCAATGTCTTTGCAGGTTAATTTATTGCAGTGTTCCTTCACCAGCATAACCTGATGCTCTATCAAAAGGATCAAAACAGGAAAGAGTAAAGGCAACTACATTTAGAAGAAAATATGAAACATTATTTACTCTTAAAACATTCTTTTGCTGTCTCTTACCAAGTCTAATCCATCTTACTCCAAGATGTCCACATATCTGCATTTCTACCAAGACCCTGTTGAGGGACTAGGAGATTAGCATACAGTGGCTTTTTGAAGCACACTGTATTTATATAAAAAAAAAAAAAAATCAGCTACAAGGTTAGGAAAGGTTATTACTTATAAATATAAAAAGTATCCCTATTACTACATGTTTGTTAAAGACAAATCATCATTATTGAAAATCTGGCCTGATGCAAGGGCTAAATTACCACTTCTGCCATCAGTGTTCATTTATTTCCATCAGCCTAGACTTTCAAAATTTGTAGAATACCATCAGTACTTTAGTCCTTGTTCAAAAAGAGAACTAAAAGTAGATCTTTATTACTGATTAATTTCCCCTTTTATTCTCCACAGGTTCTACCTTTTTTTCAGAATAAACTTCATTTTCTATTTTTCTGAGATGAATTTACGTATATATTCTTTCTTCTGGCACCTCTGCAGCAACAGAAGTTTTCATAACAAATAAGCAGACCATAATGCATCAGGTACAGGCACAAAAACAATATGGGATGACATTTTAGTTGATAAAGAATAATATTAAGTATTTCTAATAATAGCCTTTTATTTCTAAAATAAAATCGGATAACAAAACATCTCTGGTGAAAGATGAATTGTTTTAACATTTTCTGAAATTGGCAACATGCTATGTGTTTCATCTTATCTTGCTTGAAATCGGGCTATCTTAATCACAAAAAGGTTTATCTCTACTTTCACTTTAATGAAACTGCTTTTAAAATATGAAACTTTCTCTTAACTTCAGAATGTTTCTACACTAGCCCAAATAAATATTTTTATTTATACAAACAAATCTTGCTGTCTTGACAGTTCATATCCTGTTTTTCTTTATTGTTCTGATGCTTTTCGTTACAAAATCAATAAAATAAACCTTGTTCAGCACCACAGTCATCTTTGTCAAAAATGGGTTTGAACAAAAGGGTATGGAAGAGAGAACAGAACTCTGAAGTGACTTGTTGCAATGTAAAGTCATATAATCTCAAGAGTTCTGCTTATGCTTTACTACACTGAATTGAGTACTACGTTAGCCAAACTGCATAAGGCTACAAGAAAAAAGTAAATCGGAGACTTGTAATTCCTAAGATATTAGCAGAAAAGGCAGAGATGATGAATGTAATGTTATAAGGCTGTAAAAATGTACTATTATAGGATCAAAAGATGAAGGAACAAGGCATGAGAAGCTGAAACACGCTTCTCATGCATAAAACAGAACTAGAATGATGAAGAGCACACCTTCACAATGGGTTTAAGCTGATTTAATCCTGAACTTTTTCATATCCCCAGCAACCATGTGCTCTGTTCCATTCTTGAGTCTACACCAATAATCAGAGATTAAAGATCTGTTTCGAAGCACCGCCCTACTCCACTAGTTCTAGGATATGGAAAGGGGCAGAAAAATGCAGACAGGAAAACCTGGTTTTCCCCACCATCTTAGACATCTTTCAGTAGTAGCCCACACCTCCATTAGTGTAAATTTACAACGAAGCTTTGCTCTCAGATATTGGAAAGTCCAGAAAGTTTGATTTAAAAGATTGAACAATATAAAAAATAAATGAAGTTAATGATATGCTACAGAAATTATCAAATTAAAAATTCATTTTTTATTTTTGTTTTGAAGATGTATTTAAATTGTTACTGTAAGAAGTACTAAAATTTTCTTCAAGTGGCAAATTTCAATTATTAATAATTTGACCAAAACTGAAGTTAACATTTTTTACCCAGACACCAATAAAACACAATTTTTAATAGCTGACACTTTTTGATAGTACACATATGAATGTTTAAAGCATATTTCTCAATATATCTGTGGTGGGTTGACCTTGGCTGACCGCCAGGTGCCCACCAAGCCACTCTATCACTCCCCCTCCTCAACTGGACAGGGAGACAAAATTAAAAAAAACGGCTCATTGGTTGAGATAGGGACAGGAAGATCACTCAGCAATTACTGTCACACAAAAAAAATAGACTCGGCTAGGGCAAATTAATTAAATTTATAACCAAAGTAAATCTGAGTAAGATAACAAGAAATAAAAACAATCTTAAAACACCCTCCCCTCCACCTCTCCCTTCTCAGGTGCATCTTCAGTCTCCGTTTGTCTACCTCCTGCCGCCACACGCAGCACAGGGGAATGAGGATTGAGGTTGCAGTCAGTTTGTTACGCATTGTCTCTGCCACTCTGTCACTATGACTGCCTTTTTCGACACCCATGTTCCCACATGTCCTTAGAGTCATCTCTCTCAGCCCATGAGTACATACTGTTTGTTGTCTATATACCTTCTTTAACATATTTTTTGTCATTCTTTATTATGTTTTTACAGTAAATAATCACATAATCACAGAATAGTTGAGGTTAGACGGCACCTCTGGTGATTGCCTCATCCAAATCTCCTGCTCAAAGCAGAATTAGGTTGAGTGGGTTGAAACGATCATGTTCAGCTGGGTTTTAGATCTCTCCAAGGATGGAAACTCCACAACCCCTCCGGGCAATCTGTTCCAGTATGCGACCACCTTCACAGTAAAAAAGTTTCTTATGTTTAAATGGGATTTCCTGTATTTCAGTCTGTGCTTACTGCCGTTCATCATGCCACTGGCACTATAGAGAAGGGTCTGGTGCTGTCTTCTTCACACCCTCTCATCAAGTATTTACATACATTGATAAGATCCCCCTTGAATGTTCTTTTCTCCTGGCTGAGCAGTCTCAGCCCTCTCAGTCTCTCCCTGTATGACAGATGCTCTTAAATCTCTTAAGAGTCTCTTAAATCATCTTTGAGACCCTTCACTGGAGTCACATTCCAGTATGTCTATATTTTTCTTGTACTGAGAAGCCCAGATAATATTTATGTTTTTTTAATTTATTTTCCATCCCTTTGAATAGAAATAAGTAAATATTTATTTTTAGGCATACAAACATTACTGATCATTGGTGAGCACATCAGATTTACTTCAAAAAACATGATTTAGACATCCAAAATGTTTATCTAACATCAGTAAAAACAAAATTTATTAAAATTTGAGAAGCCCATACTGACCAAGTTCATTATATCTTAAAAGGAATAGGTATCATAAAAATGCTTATCTGTTTAAAAATTACATTCTAATATAAGATAATAAATACCATGGCTGGATATATGTCTAGTCAACTATGTATTTCCAGTGAAAAGTGTTTCTAACCAGGGTAACAAAAAAGTATGGAAGAGTTTTCTTTATTGGTAAAATAGGATTTCTATAACATTTAATCCTACAAAACGCAGACTATTCTAACACAGCATTTCCTAATTGAAACATATTAACACACAGCTAAAGTTTCAGAACTAAGAAAATGAAAATGTTCTCACTCATTTTTTTCTTCTCTGTTAGAGAGAAATAAAATATTTAAAAGTATTTAGTTTTAAAGATCTGTTTGAAAAAAAAAATGAATATACCACAGATCTTGCTCAAACCAATTTTTTTTGCCACCACTTTTTCAGAATTTAAGTAGAAAATGTCTCTACAATTTACCTTGTATACCTGCAGTAGCACATCTGTCCAAGCTCGTTTCCTCATTGTCTCAAACACGCTGTCCTTCAGAATGAGTATATTCTCGTTGCTAAATATGCCTGAGTGTTTCACATCTCCCTTTTTCAACTCAGCCATGTGACCCTTCAAATAAAGGAACAGGATTTATTTTTGATATTCATTTCAGCAGTTTAGATACAAAAATCAGAAGAGAACAATAATGAATCAATAGCATAAATGACTGATAATGTCCTACTATAGTGCAATAGCAATCAGCATTAAAACCATTTACAGTTTGCCACTATTTCAGCAATTAGGACAGAGAGGCAACACATGGAATATATTTTTTTTAAGAGTAAGATCAGTAGAAATAGTAAAATTAATTCTACTTTGAGAAAATATATCTATTGGAAATTAATCGCAGGTATCAGCAGTATCAGAAAGAATGGAAGAGAAAACCCAGGGAAAGGAGGATGTAAACATTGGTGTCAGTTTAAATTTCTGCTCAGTCTCATTCATGTGCTTAGATGTATGCAATCCAAAACAGTTACCACAGTAGGAATACTCATGGTCCACAGGGGACTTCCATTAGTCTTCAAAGAACTGACACTAAGAATGTGGTCTTTGTTTAAAAAAAAAAAAAACACAAACCACAACTACCTTCAGTACAGTTTGCACTTTAATCCATTTCTTATAATCATCAGGTTCAAACAGAAATTCTGGCAAAACATGAGGAAGATATGCCCCTTGGCTTCTGAAATCATAAAGCAGAAAAAGTTAATAGGTAGGCAAGACAATTTTTTTTTAACAGCACTCCAAGTTCTTCAACTTGCTCAACCTATGTGTAAGCTCTTCTGAGTACGCTTTGGAGTAACGATCCAGTTCCATTAATTGCTTTAGATAGCTTTTATTTATGAAGCTCATGTTAAATTCCTATGCCTACAACTAAATGTTAAAAGCACATACAGCTCTGTACAGACTGGCTTCTTTGTAAGAATTGCTCCTCCATAAAGGATTTATTATAGCACAAAGCATCAAAACACATAATACCCGTTTCCATGTGAAAGCCAAAGCACCAATGTTGCATAACATCAGTAGAATTAAAACTTGATGATGCTTTTATCTGTCTGCAGGTCTGATATTGGAAGTCTTATGGGTGTAAGCAAAGGTATTTCAAAACTCTGTTGTTAAACTGACCTGCCATCTGCTCTCAGATGACTAAAAAATGCAATAGGAAAAAATAGTTGCAGTGACAAAAGGCAACTTCATTAGACTGAATACCAAAAAAAGCTAACTTCAAAGTGAAGAATGACTATATCTCGAATACAGTTTAAACAAATGTTGCTGGAAAGAAGGGAGAATTATGAAGAATCCTTAAGTTTACTTTTCTCAGGGAAACAGAATAGTTTCCTGACTCTTAGGTCAGAAAGATTATGCTAGAGTATCTAGGTTTACATTGTTCTCTGTATTTTTAACATGGCTAATGTGACTAATAATCAGATGAGCTTTTCTTGCTATTTAACAAGTCTCTCATTGCCATGAAGTGATCATACTTTTCTGGTACATACAGTCCAAATTCAATTTACTTTGTACATTAAGAGTCATATGTCGCAGTTTGAAATTAGATCAGAACAACATATTTCTCTTCCCACAGAACTGTATTTTGCTGGTAACTACACATTTTTTGCCTTCATGTTTTACATAGTGACATTATCTTCTCAGATTATTGAAATTTCATGTTTCATACAATTATCTAGCATGTTTTTTAAAACACAAATATTTTAATCAAGGACCAAAAATAGCATCAAGTTAGTAGTCTGGTTCTAAAATTCAACATGTCTGAAATTCCCATTTTCCATTGTCATAGACTCTGTCCCATTAAATCCCTTTAAAACTTCAGTTTTTCCCAAATGATAAAAGGAGGAAGCTATACAACATTCATCTTCTCAAGTGTCTTATCTTTCTTTCAATTTTTTTACTTGGTAGATATATGGGAACAGGTGCACTCTACAATTTTCATTCTCAGGAAAGCTTTATAGCAACGTTACAGGTCATGACAGTAAAGATAGGTTGTATATAGCTGAATGTTCTCATAAATGGCTGCATTTTGTTGTTGAGGAACACCATCTTAAAAAAATTCCTCCTCATTAAGGACAATATTTAACATGATGCTAGTTCTCCGTGATCAGTATTTTCACTCTGTTAAGATGTTTTTCCTCAAGACACAGCTTGCAACAAATTTCTTAGTTGTATTGCAAAATACTCAAACTTTCCCTCTACTGTTGCGGTACATACCAAGGAAACCTTCTGAGGGAAGGAAGACTAATACTTGAAATGTCGCTTGAAACACTGAACAACATTCCCCTGCTTTAGCAGGTGGAAAATGTGAAAGATGAATTATGCTTTATTTGAACCATACCTACCAGAAAGTACTGACTGGGGGGAAGAAAGCTGAGAACTGTGTGTTTATGTTCTCAGAGCATTCTCCTGGGCTTCTTCAGGAGGGAATTTGCACTTTCCACAAATCACAAGGAACAAGCAGGGATAGCAGATCACAGATGAATTACTCATATCCTAGGCTGGCTCTGGATGTCTCACCATCATTACATATAGTCGTGCCAGCAGTGCAGGTATCACCAATCATCAGTGTACCTGTTTACCGGGGCACTGAACTTAGCCTTGACCAATTGTCTCCTGCTCCAATTCTGAATACGTCAGTGAGTTAACAGACACAACTCAGGAAGACTGAAGGCTTTTATTAAAATTCAGCTATTAAATAGCTTTCCAAATTGCCCAAGAAACTACCTTAGAAACACTTAAGTATTTCTTTCCAATTGCTGTTATGCTTAGCACAAGGACTTGTGATCCACTTGCCCTGAAACTCAGCATTATTTTAAAAGTATGCAACTAACATCATGTATGCTAGTTCCAAGATGCCTAGATTCCCTGGAAAATCTCAATGGGAAGATTGGACATAAGAGCCATAAGGCTCTACCAGGAGAAAATTTTGACCCTATCTAGGAGTGCTCCAAAAGCATCCCAAGAAAACTTCTTAAGGAAACTTATTCTGTGAACGAATATTTTGACCTAAGCTCCTGAACAGACTTTGTTAGGGGTAGCTTCAAGCATAAAGTATTGAAAAGGACAGAAACCCGACTGTCTCCTTGCCAGAAGGTGCCAGAATATAAACAAATTAAGGTATTTCAGAAGACCTTTCTGGTACAACCTTAATGTAAGCAGGTTTATGACATTCTTTCATTTCTTCACATATATCCTAAAGAAATGTTTCCACTTGTGTTGTTCATTTTCAATGTTATGAATAAACGTTTTTACTTGCATTTTACAATAAACAAACTTGAGATAAATAAGGTATAGAGATGTTCTCTCTCTCTCAAGTGCAATGACTCAGTAAACTGGGTCATATTAAAAAGTATACTCCGAGCTTCACAGCACACACACCACGCCAAATTCTAAAAGTGCAAAGAGTTTACCTTGTCTGCCCTGGCCACCTGATACAATCAGAGTGAAGAAAAGAAGCTTTTCCCAGAGCTGGTCACAAACAAGCAGTCTTTCTGGTATACTAAAGATATTGGGTGGCACGCTTAAACTTGGAGGATGACTGATGGTAGGTATCACCATCATCCAATGACAAATGATGTTATTTTGGTTCCCTCATACTGACCTCATCCATCAAACAATGAGTTACAGAAGATATATTAAAACATTTGAAGCTAGACAGAAATATCAGTCCTAAAAGACCAAAATTAAAGTCTATATTAATTTGAGTTAGGGATGTAAAATCCCAGACCGAAGGGTGAAAGACTCTGAAAGGCGCATCGGTTCCACCCTTGAAAAGTAGTTAGACACTCGAGTGTCTCTTGATAGGAACTGAGTGGAATTAATCCATCTGCCTATAGACGGATTAATGAAACTTAACTGTTAGCAAGGGTGAGAGGGTTCAAAAGAGGAAGCATGTCTTGAAGTTATACTTGATTGCTCTCCTGTCAATTGTGCAGAGCATTAGCTTAACTGTAGACCTAAGGCAGAGACAACAGAAAGGATTTTTCTCGGGTTGGAAACAAAGATTTTTGACAATCTGACCTCAGAGAAATATCAATATACTGATTAGATAAAAAAGAAATTCTCTTTAATCTACTCAGACAACCATTCAGCATCATATCATCATATCACACTGTGGTCAGTTTTAGGCATCTCACTAGAAGAAAGACATCAAAGTGCAGGAGAGTGTCCAAAGACAGGCAACGAAGCTGGTGAAGGGTCTGGAGCACAAGTCTTATGAGGAGCAGCTGAGGGAACTGGGGTTGTTTAGCCTGGAGAAAAGGAGACTCAGGGGAGACTTTATCGCTTTCTGCAACCACCTGAAAGAAGGTTGTGGCCAGGTGGGTGTCAGTCTCTTTTCCCAGTTGACAAGCAACAGGACAAGAGGAAACGGCCTCAAGTTGCACCAGGGAGGTTTAGATTGGATATTAGGAAAAAATTCTTCACTGAAAGGGTTGTCAAATATTGGAAGTGGTTGAGAAGAATGCTATTCTGCCTCTTTTTAATAAAAATTACATGGCTGAAAGTTGCAAATAAAGGTCCAGTGTTGTTGGAGCAGTGTGCATTGGTCTTATTATGAGTTCAGATATAGATATATTACTGTCCATTATTCTCAGATAAAAAGCTTGTATTTAGAACAGTATGTAAATGACAATTTTAAATGGCTTTACAGTCTCCTGAACTCCAGGTGAGATGCTAAAAAGAAGCAGAGGTGCTGTGTTACAGGGCTTCTGATGATCTCTAAGGATCTCATGACATTAGATTTCCTCTAACTTTCTTCTCTGTTTCACAGTAGCAACAGCCAGAAAGAATGAAGAATTTATTAACTTTTTTTGATTTGCACCATTTTTCACAGTTGTTCTGTATTATGTGGCAAGATAAGATTATCAATGAAGGTAGCTAATAGCTATATCTGTTCAGCGGCAGAAGTAGTGCTTCCATTTCTTGGCATATTATTAACATGAAAGACTAACAGATTACAATGTAAGTCTACAAAATTTTTGCTAAAGCCAGTAATTACAGGACAAAGAGCATCAGTGAAATAGCAAGATCGTTACTGACAAACCTGATCTGACTGTCTACTGAGGCTGTCTAGGGAATGAGGGTGAGTCTCATTTTCTTTCGTAATTAAGGGAGCAGAGTTCCCGTGGAACTTCTGTGTTGGATATAACCCTACCGAATGACACCTCAGTTAGTGTAAACTGCAGAGGAAAATCTTGGTAAAAATTAAATTTTATAATACATAAATCTTAGACCACAAAGGATACAGCATAAAGGAAACCATAAACCTACTGTACATAATTTCAACTGAATAATCTTAGAACTATGCTAATAAAAAAAGTTGAAAGAAAAGATGCATGCACGTATATTTTTTTACCGTACACATACTCACTTGAGGAAAGCAAGCAATGCAGAATGCTGGCAGTGGAGCTGTAACACGCGTTCAACTGGATCAAGGGGCAATGACTGGCTCGATGTAATGCCTGGTAACAACTGTCCACTCAGATGGAACAACATGTCATAAACAGTATCTTTGCCAAGGTTCCGCTTAAAAAACTTTGCTTGCGAAGAGGTCATCTGGACTTCACACACATCACTAAGAGAGAAAAAGCTTCTGGTATTAGTCTTTTAAACGCACAAAATGAGTTAATATTATACATATCACAATGATAAATTTAATAAACCATGAAGTAAAAATAGCATCTAGAAGGCTGAAAAGTATAGCACTTTTTCCTTTTTACAGAACTTTTATCATACTATAAGGATTTTGAACTGCATGAAATATTTAATAAGGATACGTGAAATATTTTAAAAATAAATTTGTGTTTGTCACTGCCTTCTGCCAAACGTAACTTTGATTTCTATCATCTTTATAAATGTCTATGTGTTTGTGTCTCAGGAGATTGGCTTCTTCATCATTTAGTTGCAAGCTAGATAAGATCAACTAAGTGATGCCACTAAGACTGATATATTTCCAGAGTGTTCGCAAGACTGTTGATTACAAAATTTGCTTTCCCACATGTTTCCAGATCTTCAGAGTACATGGAGAAAAAAAAGACATGTTGTTAAAACGCTTATTTATGTCACCAAAGAAGGGACAATTGCTAGAACTGTGTTCATTCTGGGAGAAGAATTAATTTCAGTTAATAGGATGACATATAGTTTGAATTGCATATTTTACATACACTACATTATGATATATCAGAGCACCATAGATGGAAATAAATATATTTTAGAAAATGAAAAATAACTCCTGGATGACATATTCATATAAACAGCACATAGATGCTACAGTTTTAATACACAGCTGTGCATTAGAGCGTGTTTACATTCCTCAAATCATACCCTAAACACTTTAGTATATATGTTAACATTTTATTAGGCAGACACAAGTGAGTTCTAAGCAGATATGAATTACCGTCTTAGTGAATACGGTATTGAAATAGGATTTTGTCCCTTAGACCAGCCGAAGAGAGTGAACCAATTCTTAACAGCAGTTAGGGTTTTCTGAAAGAAGATGTACTCCTCTTTATCTTCATCAGGAAAAAACGCTAATTCAAATTTATTTTCTCTCCCATCACTTTCACTGTCAGTTTCACTCTCTTCACTCCTGTTTTCATCACTCTCGCTTTCAAAAGTAGTATCCGACTCTGAATGATAAACAACAATCAAAAAAAACCCAGAAAGATTCTTTATTTCCTATTTTCATCTAGTACAAAAACAGTATTATTTTTTTAACACACAATTGTGTTCAGAAAATAAAAAACTGTGAGACAACAAACGATCAAATTATTTCATGAATAAACAATTTAAAGTGACCTGTACACCTCTTGGGAATAGAACAAATTATATTCTTGGAATCTAATTTCACTCAAAGAAAAAACTATTACCCAATCAGAAAAAAAGAAAATCAGGCATGGCTTACAAAACCACGGATAGCAATCTTAGAGAAATAGTCTTATATACAGTTACAGTAGGTACAGCTTTACTAGCTAGTCAATTCTAGTTCCCCATCTCAGTTACATACCGTGGGTCAGTAACCAACTTGTGTCCAAACAGTTTATCGGGTATAGTATAGGTGTAACTAAGCCTACATACCAACCTATAAGCCTTTGGACTTTTCTACCCTCTGTTAGGCCTTCTCTCTCCTCAATTCTGACCTAGACAAAACTTAGATTCTATATTTTAACAATTGCTAGTTGTTAACAACATCAACAACAAGATAATGGCATAAAAAATAACTAAGAAAACAAAGAACACTTTTATTCATAGCACAAATAGATTATTCCATCCTTGAAGGTGTGTTTTAATATCATTGTTGCAGTTTTAATGTTTCATTAAATGACGCAAAAATAAAACTAATACCTTAGACAGTGAATAAGAAAAAAAATCTTGTCACGATTTAAGAAGAAAAAACAATACATGGAGGAAAGAGACTTGTTCTTTTATAAGATCAACATGCAGTCAGATCTGAATTTGTGCACTTCTGCCAGCTGACAAGATGACTTTCCCCATCTTGTCACGGCCACCTTTGCCAAAGGTTATTGCCTTTTCAGATCAGAAACTGAGTTGCTCTTTTGAACTCTTCTTACATCATTCCATTAAAAATGAATCATGTTGGTAAAGAGCTACTATTTAATCTGTTTAACTACTCCTATTTGTCTTGGCAATACCTTAGAGAACAATCACACAAACATCAGCAGATCTGCAAGAGTGCAATCCTAACAGTGATGAAACAGCAGCAGTAACTTCTGCTCTTCTAACTTCCTAGGTAGAAAACTAGCAGCTGAAAGAAGAGAGACGTCAGCAGTCCCAGATAGTCACCTGACAACCTCACAGAATATCTGTTACTCTTAGTTCATAGGGAACAGCACCTTAACTGAGTCCAACTGGCAACAGCTGTTTTTATACAATACTTCATAAATGCAATAAAAATGTCAAAGTCTAACCTGAGCAAACAACTAGACCCTTGCAGAATATAGCACGTTTACAGAGTATATGTGGTTGGTTAGTTCATGACTACAGAAACAATGCCCTTCTTAGTAACTAATCCCTTAGGTTTGTTCAGCAGTTGTTTTTTTTTTGCTGGCTTCTCCATGGACATATTGCAAATGGAACCTTGACATTTTTTGTTTTGAGTTTTTTTTTGTTGCTTGTTTGTTTGGTTTTGTTTTTAAATAGTTTGACTGATTTCACTTCCACTTAGTCTACTGAAATGAAGGAGAGCTTTTTCTGCTTCTTCACTCTAGGTTAGGTTTCCCACAGTGTCACAGGAGAAGACAGTCTCCCCAGTATTTATTGATTATATCTGCAGTAGCATTTCAGGCAAAGCTTACAAACGTGAAACATGTCTCTTTAAAGCAGTAAGCTGAAAAGCAGTTTTAAGAGCTCAAAGTGTTTAAAGTGAACAGCTGCACTATACCTGAGAGAGAATCTTCATAGGTTGAGTCAGTGGTTGCACCAAAGGAACTTGAAGAAACACTATGGGAAAGTGATTGTGGGGTATAACATGGATGCAGAACAACTTCTCCACTACTGCAGTCTTTACTGTCTATAAAACCAGATTACAAGATGCAGTTGAGAAAACATATTTTATTGTCTGTGTTCTAACAGATTATAAATGGATATCTGCTTCTATGATTTTCTATTTCATGCTTCAATTAATCAAGTAACAGTTCTCATTTGACTCATGATGAAAATCTCACTTTGGTCATTAGAGTAGGTAGAAAAAAATCACCTGCATATTTTTTTTCCATTAACTGTACGTTTTACAGGACGGGACTTCATGCTTGCTGAAAAGCACCTATCAGAACAGCCCTAATTCAAGAATTTTAATTCATGAACAAAATATTCCTAAAGAATTTTTGATCACAGCTCTGTGATCTACCATTATCAAGCTCTTTCAGACTCAACAACACATATTTTACAAACCAAAATCAAAAGTGTTCTATCAGAACACATGTTCTGACATTCTCATATTGGCCTATGATAGGATTAGAGGACCCCTCTGCTGGCTGTATTTGGTGTCAGTCTCCAGAACAAGAGTAGAAGAGGAACCTAGGATAGTTTCTAGAGAAGTATACACATCAGTAAAAGAAGGAAGAACTCTGCATGATTAACTTTCATTTTTGATTGATGGCACTGTTATCCATGTGGTTTGGAGCAAATAATACAGAAGCATGGTGTCAGATATGTGGAAGCAAAGCCTTCCTGAATAGCTTTTAAAGCCACTCTGTTGTATAGATATGGTTTGATCACATTAAACAGCAATCCACACCAAAACAGTCCATAAAAAAATCACATAAAATAAACTCAAGGGATTTATCAGTAATGACTGGCTTGAAAACTGATACAAACTGATTGTGTGAACAAACCAAGAAATAATCAATATAGAACAGAAGTATCCCATTATTAATGGGAGATCAGTTCTTATAACACCATCACTTTTGGCTTAATCCTCAAGAGAAACCTACAAAGCATCTCCAAAAGACAAGCTTGCAAAAATGATCCATTGGTCATCAAAAAACTCCAAATAATAAAATCACAGGTTTACAAGACATAATAATTTTTCCCCTTTCCTATCTTAATTGTGCTATGATTCATGAATTATATGGTACCTCTACCTGTCTTCTATATGAAAGGAAAAAAAAAATTACATGTCTTCTTGCTAATCCTTTTTCAACCTCGTAAGTACCATCTCTCTCTTAAATAGTCCAAGTATCACACTTATTTTAAGTTAATGAAGTCTTAGATTTCAGTCTTCAAGGCTAAATTTATTTCAGATCTAAGGAATGACTTGTTTACTTGATTTGTCTATTTCATCAAAATATATCAGATCCCAACAACTATTAAAAATAAAATAATATACCCCATATTTGAATCTGCTTTGAGCAGAAGGTTGGACTAGATGACTCTCAGAGATTCCTTCTGACAGGAATAACACAATGATCCTAATCTCTCCCCATAAGCACAGCTACACATAAAGAGATTACAGATCATTGAGGCAGGTAGAAAGCAGGGGGCAAGTGGCAGGTAGAGATGGGGCCGGAGGGGATGATACACAGGGAGATATGTAGGGACAGAGAGGCAGGCAGAGAGACACATTGCAGATAAAAATATTTCTAGTCTCTGATCACAGGCTTTTATTAAGCCTCAAAATATCCCTATGGTCTCCAGCCTCCAAAGACAATAATTAAAAAAAAGCTGAAAACTATTCCCAGCAGGCAAATAAAGATGTCATTTTATCATATTATGTGTCTTTCTTCTCTTTTCGTTTCATCAAAACACATCCAACTGTTGTCCTAGGAATTACTGATGACCACTCTCTATCAATATAATTTAAATTATGTTCATTTATTCTCTATTGTTTGGGCTGTTTTGTCTACTTGTATTTTAAAAACTTCTTAAAACATTCTGTAAGATTTAGGCTTGTCCAATATTTTTCAATAAACACTACCTAATCATTTATGTAAGTTTTCCTCTTTTTCAACAGAAAAACAGAAGCTATCAAACTGTTTTTAAAATTTAATTGCAGTATTCTCTTGTAATTGATGAGGAAAAATACTATCTTGATTAAAACATCCTTGTTATCACACTGAAAATACTGATAATACTACTGGACAGAATATAATCTTAAGAGATAGAATGTTGACTGCTTACTGCTTCTCAAGATAACTTGTTGATCAGAGTGGTGAAATGCCAAATACGGATATAAAGTAAGGAGGCAATTCTCTGCTGTTGCAGCAACTTGAATTAAGAATCTGTTGAAAACGAAATACAATTTCTATTTAGTCATGGCAATCAAGATAATTCAGCACAAGAATAAAAGACAGGACAAAGATGTGCAGATAACTTCTTTTCTCTTCTGTTCTGCTCAGGAGGAGAGTACACAGATGAGACTGCACATGCCAAAATGGCGAAGTTTAATACAGTATTTGCACTTGATAGTTTTACTGTGAGCATGGATGTATCGTTAATCTCAAAGTCCAAGAGTTAGCAGATATTCTGTGGAATAAATGAAATCTGTCTCTCTGAAAATTAAAAGAATTAAAATTACAGCTTCCATTTATCAGTGTCCTAAAGGAGACTGCTAACTTGCTGAATGAAATCCTTTTGAAAGAAGTTTTCTTGAAAAGCAACTTCTACTTTGATTTAACACTTATTCTATAAGACTCTACAGAAATCTCAAAATAAATTACTAGAATATAATAGAAATTGATGCACATGCTCCAGTGTTCACTAGAGTTTCTGTACTGTCTGTAGCAGCCATATTCATGTGTAGGAATCCACTTGTTAACCTTTTTTTCACGCTCCACCTCAATCTCTCAGAGTGCAGTCAACAAGCAAATTATTGCCATCAATGGATCATTATTAGCCATCTGTATGTATGTTCTTAGCTCATTGCAACCGAGGCGATTCATATGAGCTTAGTTCTCTGTCATTACATAGCTGTTTGTTTACTCCACATTAACTTATTAACTAAAAATTAATATTAATTATTTTGACTAAGCTGTGAAAAATACAAATAACATTTTAATAATTCCAACAGCATACTGATATCCATCTTGCTTTATTATATTAAGAATTATGCATATTGAAAACACATCTTGCACAGAATAAAAGAAAATATTTTCTACCTCCTTTAAACTAC